TGTTGGGTGGTACCCGATGAAGGAATGCATGTTTAGTTATACTTGTTGTCTTTGTGATACTTATATGTTCCTGGTAAGGAGTTGCGTGTGGGCGGGGTCCCTCATCTCATCACTAGCTGAATGTGGACGGGGTTCAATATCTCACCATTAGCAAAGTAGGGGCGGGGCCCATGATAGGCGGGGCCTTAAGACTAGAAGATATAGTGTTATGTATGATTCTTTATGTAATAGCATGATTATATGTTATTGTTTGTATGTGCATAGTATGCGGGGCCTAGAGACAGGCAGGGCCTGGTAGAAACAGATCTGTATACCGAGCGGGTCTCGATGCCAGGCGGGGCCTGATGCTGGACTTTGCCCGATGTCGGGCGGGGCCCGAGGAAGGGGCGAGGGCCCAGTTTATGTGATTATGTGCTTATGTGTATGGTATGTGGTAGTTTGGGGATACTCACTAAGCTTCGTTCTTACAGTTTTTAGTTTTGGTTTCAGGTACTTCCGGTAGCAAGGGGAAGAGCTCGGGATGATTGCAGTGCACACACCATTTGTTTAGCCTGGGATGTTTATACTCTGATATATTTTGATAGATGTTATGATATTTTGAGATACATTACTTATGATTTTTATATGATGTTTGATGACTATGGTTTACTTAATGATTTAAAAACAAAATTTTTGGATTGTATTTTTGGGATGTTTCAATCACATACAACACAACACAAATAAACAGTTATGGGTTATCAGCAACCCTGGAGACAACCCGAAGTCTCAGTGGGAAAACAACACGCCCTATGGATTATCAGCAATCCTGGAGACGACTCGAAGTCTTAGCACACACAGTAGCACATATCACATTAATAGTAAATAGACCCAGCTGGTCAACACATATATCATACCACATAAGTAAGCATAGTAAGGAGACTCACCTCGCACAGAAGACTGATAGAACTCATATTCGAACTGCCAGAACTAGATTCTGCCTATTAATTGCACCAAATAACCCTAATTAACAATTAAGGTAATTTTCCAAACTCAAGTAGTCCAAGCCAAGTCTAATCCAAAGTTTTGGGCAAAAGACCATTTTGCCCCTTCCAAGACCCAAATCTCTCACAAATTGACCCAAAAGGCACACTTGGTAAAAAATCAAAGGTCAAAACAGTTGACCTTTATGCACAACGTACCAAGGCTCTATGCTGGGCGTAGAGCAAAAAACCTAATAAACGAGCTCCCAGCTGGCTACGCTGGGCGTAGCCAGATTTACGCTCAGCGTACTCGACCAAAACTCAAATCTCACTTTTAAGCTCTTAATCATTAAGACACTTTATCCCAATCTCAAATCTAACCCTAAAAGGCGTTCTAATCCATAAAGTCTCTAACTTTATGCCTTTGCATGGCTAAAGAGAGCTCAATACCAAAACCCTTACTTCTAACATCACCAAAAACTCCATAACTCATGCATGGATGAAGGGAAAGGACCAAGCTTGCATTTTTATGACACCATGCACTCGAAGACGTCTAAAAGGATAACCTAAATGGCCTGGAGTAGTCCATACTCACAAAGACCAAGGTTTTGGGAAAAAATGAACATAAACTTAAACTTAAACAAGATATAACAAAGCAAACCTCAAGGTATGAAATTTATACCTTCTGGAGATGAACAATGAGGTGTAGATTCTAGATCCAAGAGCTTGAATGCACCACCACTTCTCCAGTGATCTTCCTTCACCACCAAGAACACAAAAAATCACACAAAAGCTTCAAAACTCACACTCAAGGGTTTGGTTTTCGATATCAAGGCTAAGAGGGGTGGAGGCTGGTCATAAGAACGTGCAAGGGGGAATAGGATGCTTAAATAGGGGGCACAACCCTAAAAATTTAGGGTTTTAGGTACAACACGAGTACACCCAACGTACTCAATGTATACGCCCAGTGTACTCAACAATTGTCGCGATCCTATAATGACTTATGCCTGGCGTACACTTCGTGTACGACCAGCGTAAGGACCTATTTTACAAGATAATTTCACTTTTAGATTCACACAACCATGACAAGAGCCATCATCAAGGTGTCCTAATGGGGACCACTTGGTATGAAACACTAAAAAATGAAATGGTTTAATGCTCAAATCCCACATGTTTCAATGTTGAGATGGCATGACATTAAACAAAACTGTAATGTCCCAAAAATGTCAATAAAATTTTTCTTTTCTAAATCATTAAATTCGTACAAACATTTGTTCCAAAACCAATCAAAGTAAAACGCATCTTTCAAACATCAGAGTAAAACGATAATAATCAGTGTGAAAAAAGCCATCATGGGATGTTGTGCAGTCAAGCCGGACCCTTCCCTTTGGAACTGAAAATACCTGAAAATGTTAAACCATAAAATCGTAAGCACAAAGCTTAGTGAGCTCCCTAAAATACCACATACCATACAAATGGGCCCAACCCAACATACAAACAAATGGGCCCAGCCCAAAATGTAAATGGGCCCAGCCAAACATATTAACCAATAGGCCCAGTCTAACATGTAAATGGACCTAACTCAACATACATACTAATGGGCCTAGCCCAACATACAAATGGGCCCAATCCAACATACAAATGAGCCCAGACCAATATACATATGAAAGAGTCACAAAGACAATTAGCATCCTATACCGTATAGTGAGAAGACTCACCTCAACCCTGAAGACTAGATAAACCACACACTTGAGCCGATGATATCAAATCCCCTCTTGCTAAACATGTACATATTAAAACCCTAATTAACATTTAAGGCAATAACTAACTCACAAAAGGTGCAGGCTTACAATTAAACCTCATTTGGATAAAAGGCCATTTTTCTCTTCCAATACTAAGTCCCAACATGGTTGACCAAAAGTCAATCCGGTCAAAAAGTCAACGGTCAACCCTCAGTTGACTTACGCTCAGCGTAGCACACTAATCTACGCCCAGCATAGAGCTACACCTAGCGTACAGAATTCTACGCCCAATATAGAGCTACACTTATCGTACAAAATTCTATGCCCAACATTAAGCTATGTTAGCATATAGAAGGCTACACCCAACGTAGAGCCCATGTTTCCCAAAACTTATATTAAGATCTTAATATAATAAGCCAAACTATCAAACTCACAGATCTAATCTAAATGAATGTCTTAATGGATAAAGTCTCTGACTTTATCCCTTTGCATGGCCAAGAAGAGCACAAAACCAAACTCTAAGTCCATTTTGTCACTTTTTGCTCAAGAACTCATGTATAGATGGATGAGAGCGCTCAAGCTCTCATTTTTATGACTATAACCTCAAAAACATCAGGAGGGGGCATTCAAATGGTCTAGAGTAACTCATACTTAAAAGGACCAACATTATGGGAACAAAAGCATAAAACTCACAACCATACTAGATGTAACATGTACAAGCATCAAGATGAAAGCGTTATACCTTCCAGAGATAGATGTTGGCTTACAAATCCCAGATCTACACACCTTGAAGCTTCCGACTTGGTTCTACAAACACCTTCTTCCTTTAAAGAGCACACAAAACTCTCTAAAAGCTCCAAAACCCACAAACGGTGGCCAGGGTTTCAAAGGAACGATATGAGGTAATGGAGGTTGGTCATGGGAATGATCCTAAGAAGTTAGATCCCTTAAATACGGCTAAAAACCTTAGGGCTAGGGTTTTGGTCTGCAACGGCTACGCCCAGCGTAGCATAACCTATGCCCAACGTAGGCCATTAAACTCGTGTCCATAATTCAGCACATATGCCTAGCGTAGGGCAAAATTCCTAATTTCCAATTCAACTTCAAATAACCATAACTTCTTCGTTTCAACTCCGTTTTCGGCGTTCTTTATATACACAGAAAGGTATTGACGAGACCCACAAATATATCTAGTTACTTTTGGATTAACACATGTCGAGCTAAAACCATAATCCATGCAAGAAGCCTGACATATAACTTTTCCCATTTGACCCTTTGGTTCCAACACAAAATCAATGGCTTAGATCTCATAATCAGTATTATCAACATTCAATAAGGTCTAAACTTTATTCTCTTGAAGCCGAAAGCCTTTACATGATCGAATTACGGACCACAATCCTGAATTAAGAAATATCCTAAAACTGGGTGTTACAAAAACAACGTTATATCTAAGTGATTTAGCGGCTGGATAACTGAAAAGGAAAAGACATTTCCTTAATTTAGTTAACTGCTTGTAATCTTCTTTAAGAATGTAACTATAACTTATACGTCAGATTCTCACTATTTTTTGTAATGAAATTGTCGCCCTTAAAGAAGCTTTTTCCAGGTTAGAATATATTATTCTTTAGACGTCATATATATATATATATATATATATATATATATATATATATATATATATTCAATAAACAATAATATTCTCAAATAATTAATTTATTTTGATTTGAATGTCTATGTTTATTTATGTTCATGTCATTTATGTTTATTTTTAGTTGTTTTATTTTTATAAAAAAAAAACATAAACAAACAAACACGAATAAAATAATTTGGTAAACGGATGAATATGAACAAAAAAATTCATTAATTTATTGATTTATGTTTGTTCATTTGTTCGGTCGTTTGTGTTAGTGGTAAATCCATAAATAAAGACCACAAAATCTTTGATGATATAGTGTAAATATTCGAAGACTTTCCACCTAATGAAATCTATACTTAGATAGTTTTAACTAAGATTCTAAATAGTCGTGAATATCAAGTCTCAAGTTTTATAAGTCGTGTCGATCCATGTCGTTTGTAAGACATGATTAAGTTGATAATTTTGTATATAATTAATAATTTTATATATATTTTACTATTATTTATTTATATATACGACTTTAAAATGCATTTTGTTAAATCTCAATAGAAACTTTGAATATAATAAACTTTTTAAAACTTGGTTTTAAGTATGATACGTGACAAAGTTCCATTGGCAATTAACCAGTCGATAATGCAATGAAAGGGACCAAAACTTCTTCAGATGGAGAGATTCCCAACAAACCCCACTTCCGCCAATCACTTCCTGACAAACCCTACAATCTGTGCGGACCCGCCTCCCCCAATCTCCATTTATTCCCCTCTTTACCACCCTATACAACACCAAGCCACCCAAACTCTCAATAACGACTTCCTTTTTCAAAAGAAAAGAGAAAAAAATATGGAGGATTCTTCGGAGGACTGGCGCCGCACCAGCGGCGGACACCGCCGCATAATCTTCGGGAAATACGAGATGGGGAGGATGCTGGGACAAGGAACGTTTGCAAAGGTATACTACGCCAGGGACTCCGTCACGGCGGAGAGTGTCGCCGTTAAAGTCATCAAGACGGAGCAGGTAAGAAAAGAAGGTTTCATGGAGCAAATCACCCGTGAAATCGCCGTCATGCGGCTCGTCCGGCACCCTAACGTCGTTCAATTGAAGGAAGTCATGGCTACCAAAACCAAGATCTTTCTGGTAATGGAGTACGTCAAAGGCGGCGAATTATTTGCCAAAATTGAAAAGGGACGATTGAAAGAAGATTTAGCAAGAAAATATTTTCAGCAATTAGTCAGCGCCATCGACTACTGCCATAGCCGCGGTGTCTCCCACCGTGACCTGAAGCCGGAAAATCTCCTACTCGACGAGAATGAAAATCTTAAAGTTTCCGATTTCGGGTTGTCTGCATTGCCGGAGCAGCTTAGAAACGACGGAATGCTTCACACACAGTGTGGTACCCCGGCTTACGTTGCGCCGGAAGTTCTTCGGAGAAAAGGTTACGACGGCGCTAAGGCGGATATCTGGTCGTGTGGGGTAATTTTATACGTTCTTCTCGCCGGATGTCTTCCATTTTCGAGAAGTTAACATCATGAATATGTACAAAAAGATATTCAAAGCAGAGTATGAATTTCCACCGTGGTTCTCAGCCGGTTCACGGCAGTTGATTTCGAAACTACTGGTGGTCGACCCATCGCAGCGAGTCACAGTTCCGGAGATCATGCATGTTCCATGGTTCTCGAAAGTATCCAGAACCAATCACAGTTCCCATGATAAACTAGCAAGTATGTATACAGTTAATTTTCTCTTTCTACAATAGATATTTATAATAATTAATTTATTTTTTTGGCTTTTCATTTGTAGGTCTTATTATTGCTCCGATTCCTATTGACGAACCAGAGAAGGATGAAACGACAGGTGAATCGGAAAAGTCCATGAAAAGGTCAAAGTCAAACTCATCGCCGCGATTCTACAATGCTTTCGAGTTCATCTCCTCCATGTCCTCTGGTTTCGACTTATCCGGCATGTTTGAGACTCATCGGAAATCGGGGTCGTTATTTACATCAAAATTCCGTGCTTCGACAGTCATAGACAAGCTTGAATCAGTAGCTAAGAAATTGAATTTCAAGATTTCGTTTTCGAAACAGAACGAGTACAAGTTGAAGATGCAGGGGATATCGGAGGGACGAAAAGGGAACCTGTCTGTGACGGTGGAAGTTTTTGAGGTGGCACCGGAGGTGGCGGTGGTGGAATTTTCAAAGGAATCCGGGGACACACTTGAGTACAAAAAGTTCGAAGAGAACGTTAGACCAGGCCTACAAGACATTGTATGGAGCTGGCAAGGTGAGGATAGTAACGGTTAACTACCAAAAACAAGGAAAATATTTAGAAAGTCATAGTAGGGTTACACTTCAAGTATAACACTATGTACTACTAAATTTGTATAAATGCTTTGACTTTGATAGATCCGTGTTTTTTAATTTAACTTATATAAGAATGTTAAATTCGAATACTTATTTATTAGAGGTAGCATGTCCATATAAATAATACTTTATTTATTTATTTATTTTGTAGATCTGTTCTTTACTAGCTTTGTAACCAAAAGGCCTTTGGTTATGTTTGAAGTCACCTTGTTTAAAGGTTCTCGTGAGGGGTGTTAAATTAGACAATCGTTTCATAATTTTGTCTAACACGACATAACATGAATTTTTTTTTAACACAAAAATGACACAATAACGTACTTTTGTTCGTTAATACAAACACGACTCAATAAAAATACAATAACACAGAAAAAAAAGGGAAAATGACTTATAAGCCCATAAAGTTTCCAAACCGTTCAAAAAACTCTAATTATGTTTTGTCTGTTCAAGAAAAGCCAACAAATTAACTTTTTGTCTAAAAAAGCACAACTAACTTACACTTCTCATTTAGGGTCAACCGGCTAATGAAAGTCAACGAATGACATGGATTATGATGTGTAATTAAATATCAGAAAATGACTTGTAAGACCAACGATGTTTCAAAACCGTTCAAAAAACCACAATCATGTTTTGTTTTTTGAAAAAAACCCAACGAACTTACGTTTTTGTTCAATTCTTATTAGAGGCAACCAGGTTCATTAGGTATATAACTAGTTGGCAAATGACATGACAATATATTTAATGACATGGAATAAACAGATTAGAATTGTCCATCTGTTCAAACAAGCACTGAACTTTGTTCGAACAAGCCCTTAAATTTGTTCGAACAAACCCTTAAATTTTTTTGAACGGTTTCGAAACTTCGTTGGTCTTACAAGTCATTTTCTCGATATTTAATTACACGTCATAAGTCATGTCATTCGTTGACTTTCATTAGCTGGTTGACCCTAAATGAGAAGTGTAAGTTAGTTGAGCTTTTTTAGACAAAATGTTAATTGATTAGGTTTTCTTGAACAGACAAAACATAATTGAGGTTTTTTGAACGGTTTGAAAACTTTGTTGGGCTTATAAGCCATTTTCCCAAAAAAAGAAATAACAAAAAATCAACCATTTGCATGTCATATGTAAGTCTTTGTAAAAAATATAATTTAAACATGACAAGCACAAATAACACGGCAAAAAATAACATAGAATGCTACTAAATATACATTTTGAACACGGACACAGAAATGATACAAACATGATGTTTCATGCTATTAACGTGTCGAATTTTGAACACGAACATGAATTCAAATCGCTTTTGTCTCGATTTCGTTTCGTGCCATGTATTTTTATCATGTTGTGTCGACTTTTGCCACTCTTAATTAAAGTGTAGAATATGAGTAAATTAGCATTGTTGTTCTAAATAAAGTAAAAACATAAAACCTTAAAAATGAAATTTAAAAAAGCATGCATGCATGCTTTATTTATAATTATTTTTTTAAGATTGCATATTTTTCAAAAACGAAAAATAATAATGTGAAAATTTATAACTTTTTTATTGATATAAAATACGAAATATTAAAAAAAAATCTTTAAGAAAAAGTATGTTTTGCACTACATGTATGCATGATCTTGTTTTTTTATAACTTTTCGGATTTTATGTTTTCAAAAATGAAAACTAAAAATGTGAAAGTTCATCATTTTTATACTTTAAAATGTGTATACATATCGATATATAACTATAAAATATAGAAAAATTCTTTGAAGTTTTTTAGTTTTTAATATTAGTTTTTATAAAACTAGTGCTTCTTTTGAAAATATAAGAAAACAATGTCAAAAGTTATTATTATTACTATTATATATATATATAGATATATATATATATATTATATATTATATATATATATATATATATATATATATATATATAGTATTTCTATTAAATTAAATTAATATATTATATTGATACGGTATATAGAACAAAAATTATAATAGATGTAATTAGAAGTTATTATGTAAATAGAACGGGTGCACTACAAAGAAAAATGCACATTAAAGGCGACAAATTAATATCGTCGCTAAAGCATCACAACTTTGCGGTCTCACAATTGTTCAAAAAATCGCCGTTAATATGATCTGTCACCGTTGATACTCCATATCGCCGCTAATAGTAACATCAACGCTAATGGTAGTATTTATTGTAGTGGTAAAAGTTCAAACTTGTATGTAAATACATTGTTACATAAAATCCAATAGTATGATATATAACAAAAATAGATTTCTCAAACTCATGTTTCTATGTATGTATTGATATTATTACACCAATTAATGAAAAGTAGGCCTTCTCAAATAAATAAATTATTTCTCAAAATACTCTATTAGTCGTTGACTAAATGCAATAAGTTATGTATTATATATCGAGATTGATACAAATTTTGTTCTTCTGGAATCTTTTAACCCACATCTACTTGGCTTGTTTTTATTATTATTATACGTGGCTATTTCTACATAAAAGACCTTGCTAGAATGTACAAGAATCTTGATGTTATTGCCGTGGTCGCAACGATAACAATTTTGCCCCATGGACCACAAAGTAAGCCACGACAATTTACATTGTAGTATATACTTGTTTGAATTGTAATTGAAGGGTACTTTTATCATTTAAAACATAAAACATGGCTTTTTAACATAGTGCGAATTGTTTTTCCATTATTTTGATCCTTTACGCTTACTAGCTTCAGCCTTCATGTTATTTATAAGGATTTTCCCTTAACTTAAGGCACTATGTAATCAAGAGGATTTTAAAAAAAAGTTCAAGAATATCTAAAACCAACAATGAAAATGAATGTAGTATATTTCGGTTCGATTTAATTCCATTTTTTTGCTTTTTATCTATTCAAAGTTCAAACTATTTGCACACTCTTACACTTGAAATCATCATCACAATTATTGACAGGAATATTTGTCAAATAATTGAATAAATAATAATAAAAAGGTGGAGTAGTTCCATTGAAGGGAAATATGGGCATGAGACACGTCCATGATCATACTTTATCATAATTTTTGGTTCACCACCAACATCTCCTTCATATCATCTTCAATCTTCTTATCCTTTATGTCTCCTTTTATCTCAACAATTCATATCTCCATGATTTTCTATGGATACCAAAATCAAATCTCGACAGTTCATGGATTTGAAACATGTGAGGTGACAAGAACTCTTGAGTAGAAATTAATCGTATAGGTCAAGAGATAATAAAATAATTAGTGGGAGGAGTTTGAGTGTGTGTTTGAAGCTCATATATGTCTCTATTTTTGAGCTCTATCACTCATTCACTCCAAAACTAAGATGTAAAAGCAATAAAGTTCCACATGGGGGACACATTATTGTTCTCGAGTCACGTCATATGATTAATTGATTATTGTATGACATGTTACAAAGTTTTGTTGATTACTTTTGTCCTTAAATAACTTATCCTTTGTAGTTAAGGGACCTCAATAACTAAAATTAAAGTCGTTTACTTTAATAAATTTATAAGTTTATTACTTTTCCCCATTTAGCTTTTTTCAGAGACGAAATATATTCAAATTATTTACATATTTTCTAGATGAATAGATTGAAATTATCATATTACATTAACATCTTTTTGAACATGTTTTTCAAGTGACCTGGAAACTCTAGATACTACAAAAGTTGCACTAAATTATACAAAAAACTACTCATTCTTGTTGTTTTAAGTTTAGGGTGATATACTGATATGTTACATGGTTATGTGCAAGTTGCAACACATACAAAGAACACAATCTTGATTTCTTGCATCACATCGAGGAAGCTTTAGCAAAGCTTGAAAATCTAGAAGACTCATCTTGGACCAAAATCTGAGGGTTTCCTTGCTCCACCTACATCATTAACCACCCCATAAATTAAAATAAAAAAAAATGATGTTTGTCTGTATACAATATGGTATACATAATGTTTTTATTTTTCTTTCTAAACTTAATAAACCGTTTAAACAAAACTAAATAACCATTTTATCCTTACATTTTGCAAAACAAAATTCACAATATTAGACAATTTTCACAATAAAACAAGAAAAATCTATTAGATGAACATACCAAGACTCCTTGATCAAGAATGAGTACATTGTCCATATGTAGAATCGTGGAGATTCGATGAGCAATTGTGATCACAGTCAACCCTCTACATTCACTTGCTATGGCATCCTTCAATTTGGAAGCAGTTTGAGTGTCTATATTTGCTGTGCATTCATCCAAACACAACACCTACGTCATTCCATGCAAATTAAATTAGACGCTTCAAAGTTCAAACATCAACACATAAATTAAAAGACGAAAATACCCTTTTAAGTTCTAACCATGGAAGACTTAAGAAAGGCGCGTGCAAGACAAAGTAGCTGTCGTTGCCCAACTGAAAACGAAGTCCCAGACTCCTTCATTTCCATGTCTAGCCCCCCTGCTGCCCTGACCTCCGCCTCAATATGACATTTCTCCAAAGCTTTCCAGATTTGTAAGTCGTCGTTTATATTGAAGGGATCTAGGTTTTCTCTACGTATTAATGTATATCAGATATTAGGGTTAATTACTTAATTAGCAAATGATACTCTACGTACCTTAAAGAGCCTTTGAAAAGGAACGGAGTCTGTGGAACAACCGCAAAACGTGACCTAAGATCTCTTAATGAAACGTCGGAGATGTTTACGCCGTCGACTATTATACGTCCTCCACATATTGGGTTGAGTCGGAATAAAGCGTTTATGATACTAGATTTTCCGGCACCTGTCCTTCCGACGATTCCTACCTGTGTTCCTCCGGTGATTGTCAAAGTAAGATCACGGAGCGCAGGAGGCAAAGACGGCATGTATTTGAGTGTTACGTTATGGAATTCAATTTGGCCTTGAAATGGCCAATTTGCATCTACAATTTTGTGCCCTTGAAGTTCTTCTTGAGGGATGTTCATGTACTATAATTATCAATCAATTCAAATGTTAATTTTTTTAATCGTAAAGATTAATGAGCTTTAAACAGTTGTGTTCAGTGAACCTGAAGAAC